AAAAGACGATGCAATAAAAGTGATACACTCAATTTGCCAGCAAATTTGGAAAACTCAACAGTGGCCACAGGATTGAAAAAGGTCAGTTTACATTCCAATTTCAAAGAAAAGCAATGCCAAAGAATGTTCAAACTATCGCACCCTTGCACTCATTTCACATGCTAGTAAAGTTATGCTTAAAATCCTACAAGCTAGACTCCAGCAGCATGTGGATCGAGAACTACCAGAAGGACAGGCAGGATTTCAAAGAGGCAGAGGAACTAGAGATCAAATTGCCAACATACGCTGGATCATGGAGAAAGCTAGGGAGTTCCAGAAAAACATCTACTTCTGCTTCATTGACTATGCAAAAGCCTTTGATGGTGTGGATCACAACAAATTGTGGCAAGTTCTTAAAGAGATGGGAGTACCAGACCATCTCATTTGTCTCCTGAAAAACCTATATGCGGGTCAAGAAGCAACAGTGAGAACCGAACACGGAACCACTGATTGGTTCAAAATTGGAAAAGGAGTCCGGCAAGGCTGTATACTGTCGCCCTGCCTATTTAACTTATATGCAGAGCACATCATCAGAAAGGCAGGGCTAGATGAATCAAAAGTTGGAATTAAGATTGCCGGGAGAAATATCAACAACCTAAGATATGCAGATGATACCACTCTAATGGCAGAAAGTGAAGAGAAACTAAAGAGCCTCTTGATGTGGTGTGCAGAAGGCGAGTGAAAAGTTGGCTGAAATCAACATTAAGAAAACCAAAATCATGGCATCCGGGCCTCTCAATTCCTGGCAAATAGATGGGGAAGAAATGGAGGTAGTGACAGATTTTATTTTTCTGGGCTCCAAGATCACCTCAGATGGGGACTGCAGCCAAGAAATTAAAAGACGCTTGCTCCTGGGGCGGAAAGCTATGGCAAATCTAGACAGCATACTAAAAAGCAGAGACATCACCCTGCCAACAAAAGTGCGTATAGTCCAGGCCATGGTGTTCCCAGTTGCAATGTATGGCTGTGAAAGTTGGACCATAAGAAAGGCTGAGCGCAAAAGAATTGAGGCCTTTGAACTATGGTGCTGGAGAAGACTCCTGCGAGTCCCTTGGACTGCAAGGCGTTCAAAACGGTCAGTCCTAGAAGAGATCAACCCCGACTGCTCTTTAGAAGGCCAGATCCTGAAGTTGAAACTCAAGTACTTTGGCCACCTAATGAGAAGGAAGGATTCACTGGAGAAGAACCTAATGTTGGGAAAGATTGAGGGCAATAGAAGAAGGGGACGACAGAGAATGAGATGGCTGGATGGAGTCACTGAAGCAGTAGGTGTGAATTTAAATGGACTCCAGAAGATGGTAGAGGACAGGAAGACCTGGAGGAACATTGTCCATGGAGTCGCGACGGGTCGGACACGACTTCGCAATTAACAACAACATGATTAGAAATTCAATTTACATTATGATGTATATATTACAAATTACACACAAAAAATGAAGGGAAATCAAAATAATCTGGCACATATAAACTAAGTAATAACTTTTTTAAATTTCAAAAAGCAACTGATCATTTGCTAATAGGTAAAAGAAAGCATATAGCTATTACATCTGCAGACATGAGTCTGTTTAAAATAATTGCTATTCTAGCTAAATGTACTATTAAAGAAGCCAGTTTTACTTAGTCAGAGTACAAGAAAAAAGATTCACATACAGTCCTATGAAAAAGAATTTTGTTTTAATTTCTTCTTTAGCAACATTATGAATGTTAAAAGGATCTATGAATTGTAAGTGTACATCCCAAAGCCCACACTCCTCGTTGTCACTCACTTGTGAGATTTTTTCCAGTTTGTTCCACTAGGCCCTGTCCCACAGTCATATGCCTGAATGATAAATGTGTACTCCTTCTGCAATTCACAGTCAATTGGACTTCTTGCTTGAAGCTGACCTTCTCCAGATGTCTTGTTTAGGACTACAGCTTCAAAGGGCATTTCTTGTCCATGGATTTTAAAAGCACAGATTTCACCTGTAAGAAATAACAAAAAAGAAATGAAAAGATCCAGAAAAATTACATGATCATCGTGCAAGCAGTTTATAACCCATTGTTTGAAAGAGTTTGGTATTTATAACATTATAATGTTTAAAAGACAATACTTTTCTGAATACAATTAACTAAGAAATGTTATCAATTGACTTGTCATGACTAATATACAAAATAAAATTGTAAATCAAAAATACTGAATATTTAATTTTTTTTATACTTGGTAAAAAAGCAGAATCCTCTACTATAGATAACATTGGGGACACAGTGTACATATATGTATATACTCATTGTGCATAAATACTCAGGGCACTATCCTTTCATACTTCCATACTTACCATTTTCTGAAAAGAGCTATTCACATGATTATTCATATATTTTACCACATATAGTTATTTTAATTACTCTTATTTTTTCTATGTCAAGAGTCTCCACTGCAGGCAGCTAAGAATGAAGATTTTAGTCACCTGATTACTGATTTGCAATTTATCATCCATGCTTCAAATTTTTTTCCCAGTTTATGTATGGAAATTTTGTTAACTTATTGATCCAAGGTAATGTGTTGGCTAAAGTTAAGTCAGCTTTAAATCTGGGCTATCAGTGCACAGTTTAGAGCTGTCAATATTTGATAAGTGCATATCCTTCAGATAAGTGCATATCCTTCAGATAAGTGATCTGAAGGAAAAGGATATAAGCAAAATACTATCATCTAGTTCAGATTGCCAATTATTCTGATAACATTATGTCATATGAAAATACAACTATGCAGGTTCAATGTGCCTTCTTCAGAATATCTGAAGTACTCATTAAAAAGTCAGACAGAAAGTATATTTGCTTTTTCTTTTAACTTTCATCATAATCTCAGTAAATAAATTATCTAAAAAAAAGTTCCATCTTCAAATGCTAGTAAACCTGTCTACATCTATACTTTTATATGCCGATGAGACAAATATGCTATCCTTTACTCAGACAGACCTAAGGAGAAAGTTGCAAGTGCTAGCAGCATATTGTAGGAAAGAAAAATAGGGTTTTATTAATGCCAGAGTTATTAGGATTAGTTATAACTGGAATATAAAAAATAACCATTTGAAACAACAAATATTTAGTTGTTACCTTCTAGTCATTTATAGCCTTAAAAATATGTGCTGTAATTATCAATGTAATGTCCTAAATGTGTTATCTTTTGAGAATAAGTAAATTATATAAAATTGATTCCGAGACAGGGATTCAGATTTTCAGACAGTCATATTCTTCTAAAGTACATAAACTAATACATAGAAATTGATGGCTGGATATAGCCAGAAATTATTTCTGTTAAGTCCTTCGTTTGCATGCAAATGATGAAGACACATGGCGATGCTGAACAAACACTTTATTCTCCTTCTACAACCAAGCAAAAGGCACGCAGATCTTTTTATATGGCCAGAAACCCGGACAGTGTTAACCAATAGGAACAGAGCGTTTTTGTGTCTTGCGCATGCACACAAGGCTGGCGCCGCTCTGTTTGGTCTCTACAGAAATCCTTTTAGCCAAACCAATTATTTTTCTCAATATTTTGCTCCACTTAGAACATTTCCAAAGGCTAAATTTATCATTTTGCCATTTATAGTTCAATATGGAAGTATAATTATATGCCTTTACAAAGCCTGCCCCTGCTCATAAAATTTAAATGAATCAGTTTTTCATGTTTTGTTAAGTTGTCTCATATCTAATCTAACCTCTATTTAACAATACTCTTGTTAATCATCTGGACCAAACAGATAAGGAAAATCTGCTTATTTTCTGCCAGGAAATCTGCCTACAGAAATAAGCAGGAGTGTTGCCAAATTTTGTTTAATAGAAATTACTGTGAGTTTATGGATCTAATTTTGGAATGGTCAACCAATAATTTACATTTGAGCTCTGATAAAGGTACCTCTATGTGTTTTACCAATTATTCTGTATCTTGTTTTCTTGCTTTCTTTTATTCAAAGTTTGAATAAATATTTTTTAATATGGTGTTTGGACTATAAATGAATGATTAGGATTGTGTCAAATATTAATATTGGAGAATTGCTTTTTTCAGGAGTTGAGTGGTCCACACATTGAATGAATGAATAAACACATAAATAAATATATTGATAATCTTAGTATACCAATTTTTAAGCAGAGCAGGATTGGTGATACTAATGAATACATGATACCTGAATTTTTAGAGATTTTCATAAGTCAGTCACCCAAACAGTAGATAGGCAATGGAGGAGATTTAAGAATGGCAGATCATTACATAAGATTTCTTCTAGCTATCACAGAAATTTTGGAACATGAGGGCAACTTTAAACAAGGTAATATTTTGCCATTTTTTTCTAGTAACATCTTCATTTTAAAACTGCTGACTTCTTATATTTGTCTGTGGTGCTTCTAGGAAAGTAACAATTGCATAATGGACTGAATTTATGAAAATAAGTCTCAGTGTAGTTTACGATAATGAAGTTACCTTGTAGATGTACAATCCATCAATGCAAATCATGGATTTTCAGTTTTGTTTTTATATGGACCAGATAGCCAAGTTTCTAGCAATACAACATTCTCAGAAATTAAAACTTGGCAGTTTTTAAAATAAAAAGAGTTTTATGGGGGGGGGGCGCGGATTTACTTTAGAAGTATTTTCAGAATTTGTCTCATTTTATTGAAAACCTCATTATCACTGTGCAGTGTAATGAGTGCAACAACTCATTAATTACAGAGCAGGTTAATAATTGCATTAAATTGAGGAAGATCAACAATATCCTAAATATTGTACCATTAATGCCAGAAAATTTTAATTGTTTCAATATATTTTGAAGAATTTTGAAGAATTAGAGTCTTCTCCTAGTTAGTATCTGAGATACTATACTATACTTGTTTTCTCATTTGTATACAGATAGATAAAAAAGCACTTATACAGTGCTTATACTTATACAGTATGCATATATGCAGTAGAGTGATGTATTCATTCATGCATTCATGATGGTACAGTCAAGAAATCTGGCAAATATCTGAAGTGAATTAAATCCTAGGATTTCTTTATGACAGAAAATAATAGCAGACATGTGCAGGTTAATGCTAGTGTTTGGCAAGATTCTTAAATAGAGTAAAAATATGTTATATAGAAATAAGACTAAATGTGTTTAACTGTCTCAAAAGAACATATTTTTCTTTCTTTTCTTAGATCATAGCTTTTCCCAGGCTTTTCAGGCTTCTAATGCTTAAATTGAATCATCATTATATTTTAATATTAAATTTGAAATTAATGGAATGGAAAACATAAAAATTAAAACTCCACATGTACAATACAAACCAATAAAATGTAATGGTGTAAAAAACTCTAAAATAATAAATTAATTTAGAAAAGGACAATAAAATAAGTACATTTTTAATTAAGCCAACCTCAATAATGAAAATCATGAAATTAATTTCTGATTTCAGAAATAAATCTATAACGTGTTCATAGTGGTAAAAGTGAAAACATTTCATCTTTGTTAACTGTTCAAGTTTATATATATATATGTAACCAAGGAAGCTATATTAAGGTTGCATTGGAAAGGATGTTTTTTTTAAGAATTTTTTTTAGTGAATTTACTAGATTATACATTTAACTAGATTTCAATAAGAGTGCTATTATATGGTGATAAAAATATAAGCACTATTAGAATTGCTCATCCTAACTGTGTAAGAAAATGAGAGGGAAGAAGCAACATGAAGCTGAGGTTAGGTATATAAGTCCCTGATATAAGGGACTTAGAGGAGAAAAAGTGCAAGCTTTGGTGAAAATGTTAACATCAATGTTGGATTATTATAAAATTCTTTGTGGTGCAGACCTTGTAAATAGTCCAAAAATAATTACAGTTAGCCCAGAATGTGAGATTACAGATGTGAGTGACACTTCTTGAAGTTCCCAAATAGGCCCCTGGTTGAAATGGCTTCACTGCCAGTTGTCTTCAAGATCAGTTAAGGCAGTGGTTCTCAACCTGTGGGTCGGGACCCCATTTGGGGTCGAATGACCATTTCACGGGGGTCGCCAAACAAGGCTGTCCGCCATTTTTTTCCCCTTTTTTTGGCCACACCCCTGGCACCCGGTGATGTATAAGTGGTTGGGGGTCACCACAACATGGGGAACTGTATTATGGGGTCGCGGCATTAGAAAGGTTGAGAACCACTGAGTTAAGGTGTTAGGAAAGGACTTATATAATCTAGAAATATATGTAGTTTGAAACAGTGCTTGCAAAATTGCCTATTTCCATACAATCTATCCCAAACTTCTAGATCAACATCTTTTTTATTATTTTCTGAGTGCTGACAAAGTGATTTCTTAATAATTGGTTTCAGAATTTGTCTATATCAAATCAATCCTTGTTGATGATAAGAACAATAATTGTTGAACATTTGCTCTTCTCCATTTCTCTGGTTCTATGTCTATTTGCATGAAAGAGGCTCTTTGATGACATCTACAAGTTCCTTCAAGGTTGGTCCTGGAGACGTAAAGACTTCATGATACCCAGGTGTTCCCTAACCATCTCTTTTCTTACCCTGGCTAGCTCCTCCTTCCATTTATTCATTGTTCTGCTAATCATTACAATAGTCCAGTCCATGGCTGCTCCTTTGTGGTATGCCATAAAGGGTGGGTGCTCTCTCTGCTCTTTTTTAGTATCTACATGAAACTGCTGGGTGAGGTCTTCCAACATTATGGGATGAAGTCTCATCAATATGCTGATGATATTCAACTTTACATCTCTATCCATGATGAACCAAGTGTTGCTGTAACTGTCCTCTAGTAGTGCTTGGAGACTTTAGGGATTTGGATGAGAGACAGCAGGCTTCAGCTGAACCCACATAAGATTGTGGCTGTGCAGTCAAGAGGCCTCATGATCCGGGGGCCTTCGATTCTTAGTTATCAATGAGGTTACACTAACTAGATAGACCCACAATGCACAATGTAGCTTATATGCTACATTACAGGTGGAAAA